AGTGTCGAAACTCTCACGCACACAATCACACACACAGGAATATAGACACACACTCACACTTCCTTTCCTCTGCCAGTCTTTACAGCCCAACAGCCCATCGGGCAGAATGTGTTTTAGCCATTGTCAAATTGATTGTATGTAATCAGGGGTTTATTCTGCAGCCAATGAACTGAATTACAGGTTTCCTGCCCTGACTAACACTGTAACAATTGATCTGCTCCCTGGTGTGTGTGTGTGTGTGTGTGTGTGTGTGTGTGTGTGTGTGTGTGTGTGTGTGTGTGTGCGCATCTTGTGTGACAGGATAGAGAGACGGACAAGAAATGATAGGGGGTGTTTGTGTGTGAGAGGTAGAAACGACGACAGAGAGAGATTGAGACCTAAAAGGAGCAAAAAGGAGAGGGGAAAGAGCCCAGTAGGAGGGAGAGTGGTTTAGATTGACTGTCGCTGTTGGAGTTTTTATTTTGTCTTTTATTCATTTTTGTCACTGAAAACAACTATAATCACCCACACACTGTGATTCCACACACATAAACCCACACTGAAACAACGCATAGCTTTTTTTTTCTGAGCTCTATTTCGCTGCTTTTAAACTATGCAGTTATCTTGCAGAATGCACAACATAAAACACAGGTTCAACGTTAGACTCACAGGATTTTGCTGTATGTACGTGACCGATACATGATTTCAGCCACCACAAAGCAAAAAGTGGACGTGTCATTGCTTGTAATTGCATAAGAGTGGTCACCTACGTCTTTGAAATTGCTGTGTGCAATTGTTGTGTTCCTATTTTTGCGAAAACATATTCACTACTGTATCAAACTAACTGACATGGAGTTCAACAACCCTCCAAAGATAGGAGACTGTTTAAAATAGAGAGAGAGGAAGAAAAACAAACTGAACAGTATAAGTGTTGAAAAAGCAATTCAATATATTGATGAAATCATTCTATTCATTTGACTATGACAATGTAAATGTAAATGCTTTTTGCTCCTGTTCCCCTCCTTACTCCATTCTTTAATTCAATGTATTTTCTTTTATGTCTTCCACTCTTCCTTCACTTCCTCTCCCTCCCAAAGCATTGCTGGTATCATCTAGATAGAATTGTGTAAGGTTTTCTCTCACTGTTTTTTTTTCCCCCTTTTTGCTTATTGGACTGTGTGTTCTTATCAGCATTGAGAGCACAATGCTTGGTGTGATGGAAAGGTATTAGCCAAGCCGAGGTAGCTACATTGTCAGCACTTCTTCCTGCTCTGTCTCTGTTGCTCCCACTTCTTCTTCTCTGTTTCTCTCTCTCCGCTTCTTCTGCTCTTCTTATTTTTAGCTGGGGTTTTTTGCTTTTTATTTTTTGGAGATATGTTTTGTAAGCAGTAAGGCAGTGAAAGCCATCACATCTTTACACCATCCGAAGCCAAAGTTTTGCAACGTATAATTAAATGCAGCTTTGTCATTTTAAATTCCCATGACACTTGTTATGGTAATACTTTTACTAAGTAATGCTATTTCGGAGATCCGGCCCTTTAGAAACATTGACAGAAGAGCCCAGGGCAAGCAAAATAAGCAACCAGACAATCAGAGAAGTTATCAACAAACTGAGAGTTATCTGATTTGGTAGTGACAAGCCGATGTTAGTTCTCTTCTCTTCTCTTCTCTTCTCTTCTCTTCTCTTCTCTTCTCTTCTGCTATTATGATCCTCAGCCCAGTAGGGGTGGATGAAAACAGTTTAGAGTTGTTTGAGGATCAGTTTGTGTTTATGGCTGCCATCTAGCGAGGTAGTTGTTCAAAGATTGTATATAATAAAGCAGTGCAAGTGCACACAGAAACACAGACTAAAGGAGCGCACAGCAAACAGCACAGAGCGAGGCAGAGAGTAGTTTCTCTAATACGATGATTGTATGTTTGTCCCCGCCAGTTGTCAGGCCACTGCATCACCCTACCACTGTAATGACAGCTTGTCATACTAAAGTGGCCCACCTTCTTTCAAAACACACAAAAAAGCATTTCTTTCTTCTTTCTTCCTTTCTTCCTTTCCTCCCCATGCCTCCACATATTCATCTTTTATGAGTAACTGTGCCTTCCTTCAAGTGAGAAATGAAAAAAAGAAATAGGCCTGAAAAGAGAGAGAAAATGACAGGGATCGACTTGGAAATGGATACAAGCAAAGGCGGTCATTTGTATGTGTGTGTGTGTGTGTGTGCTGGTGTGGTCTCCCTCAATAAGAGACACCTAAATAGAATATTCAGTGTCTGCAAGAACTAAGCAGCGACTTTGGCCGCTTTAAAAATGGCCAGTTTTATAATTTGCATTACTGCTAAAATATAAACCTAAATAAATCCGCTCAACCTCATTTGCTAATCTTTTTTGTTTGTTTGTTTGTTTACTGTTGCATTAAAAAAACATTGGTACCATAGCCATTTTCCCTAAAATTATACAAAAAATACAAAAAATACATTAAATGCAGTAAGTTTGTTAGTGCAAAGTGATTATTTTATGCTATAACATATACCGCTTCTTTTTTGCCGTACATGATACATAGTGCTGTTCAATATAGAGCAATCAGCTTATGTGCTAATTACTTGACTATATTTGTAACTGTGTAGGTTTCAATATCACGAGCATCAAAATCTTAAAGGTGGCAAAAAGAAAATGACGTTAAAACCGTATTCTTTAACGGAACTGAGCAGAACCGTTAATACCAAAATGTGATTACTTTGCTTCCTTGTGTTTTACTGTTATCATCTCATAAAACACTGCTTACATCTTTAAGCCTTGTCTGAATAAAGGCAAAGAACGGCAAACACATTCGAGCTGTTTCCACTTTATTTACATTTCTTTAAACACCTAAAAACCTAAAGAATTGATTAAAAAGAGACCCAACCCCTCCTCTCTCTTCACACTCATCTGAAGAGCAGACAAGCACAATAAGACTGCTCTTTCAGCACTGAGCCATCGCTACATAGCACCATAATTATACTGATAACATACATACATAAATGCATTCAACCTCTCGCTCGGCACAGCGCACTGGCTGTGATTTCTTAATCTTCTTTCCTCTTCTCCTCTCCTCTGCATGCGTGTCTTCTTTTTTTATTCTTTTTTATTCCTCCCCCTTCGACTGCCATTATTTTTCATTTATAAGCACAGTTAGAGAGCGCGAGAGAGCACTGAGGGGAAAAAACGACGAGATAGAGGGAAAAGGGGGAGAAGAAACTGGAATGGAGAACGGAAAGATAGATAGATGAGAATTTGAGAGAGAAGGAAAAAAGCGCCTGAGATCTTTTGGCACTTAAACTCTTTCGCTTAATGGTACTCAGAGGGATTGACGGTCAAAAGGAGGGGCCACAAAAGAGCATAAAGAGTGAGAAAGGAGAGATTAAATCATCACCATCACATCATCTACTTAAATGGTTCTACTCTCTTTTTCTGTCACCACTGTTTTTCATCCCATAGACACAGAACATAGACATCCTCTTGCGATCTCTTTCCTTTCCATTTACACTTTTTTCTGTACCACCTGATACTGTCTGTGCTTCTGCCTTTCCTTCTATATGTCTCCATAGACTCTCTTTCTATCCCTAATTTTCTCTTCCTTGATTTGTGTCCAAACCTTTCTCACAATGTCAGCCTCTTTCCAAACTGAAGGCCCAACTTAGCATCCGATAAATGGATTTATAGACACTGGTGAATACCGCAAACCCACGATAAATGGAGTCACTGAATTAAAAGAACCTCCAGCAAGGGTTTAATATATGATGAAAAGGGTGAAAAGGCCAAAGCATTCTATATCATAAATGTCAATTCACATTTGAACGGGAAAATTTCAGGGGAAAAGAGTGTTTCCTACATTACAATGCGTTTGCAGGTTTTTTGCAGGCCTTCTTTCTGCATATCAGTCATGTTAAAGCTGAGATGTAAATTAAAAGAAAAGGTGTTGTTTGTCAGTAGACAATCATCAGTCACTGCAGTCCTGCAACTACTCTTTTTTCCCCATTCTGTCTGTCTTTTGCATTAGCTGTCTGCCTGTCTGCCTTTCTGTTTTCCTGTCTATATCCATTCTTCATTCCCCCACCTGAACAGCTCCCCATTCTCCAACCAGGCACTGTCTGTGTTTTATGGGTCCCTGTAGAACGGGGATCTTTTACAGGCCGACTGGACTTTAGAAGCCCCTCGTTTAGCAGCATCCTGCCTTAATTAAAAACCCCTTTTGTGCTTTCTGCCTTTAACAATGAAAGGGGAGAGAGAAAGGAGGGAGGGCAGGGTTAGAGAGACAGAGAGTAGTAATGCGTAGAGGAAGAGAAAGAGAGACAGTCAGAGATGGGAGTGAATAGAAAGTGATAGGGAGAGAGGCAGATAGATAGTAAGGTAGACAAAGGGAAGGATGGAGAGATATGGACAGAGAGAAGATAGCCGTTAATTACAACTGTCATTAACAAGACACCAGCCTCCTTAGGGAGTGGAAGAAGGAAAAGCAGGAGAGGAAGGAGGGAGATACGAAGGGAAGGAGAATGTAAGAATAGTACTACAGTGATAGTCTGGCTCTGATTAGTGAGTTTTATTTAATACTTACAAAATATGCATACATTTATTGTTTTGCATCGCGCAGCTTTTAGTAACTTTTTAGACTGTAAGCTGTGCTTGAATATGACAATGTATGTCTCTTTGTGTATGTGCTGTCTTTGGGATGACTGAGCAGCAGAGGAGCTGCTTACTGATTACCTTCATGTAGAACACGCTGCTATTGACTGGAGGGTGACGGATGATCTTGGCCCCGTGGATGGGGATGTGTTTGTGGTACTCTAGATGCCGCTCCGCTACTCTCATGAATGTGGTTTTCCCCAATGAACCACAATATATTTGTGTCATTAAATATTGCTGAATATGACTTTACATTTCTCCCTTCCCCTATGCAGTGCCCCTAACTTTCCACACTCATGATTATCTTTCTTCATATTAACATTTTCCTGTAATGTTTTTTCCCCTCTTGTTCTGTCTCACTCTCTCAGGCTTCTCTGCAGAATGTCCAGTAAGGAGCGCCACCTTGAGTCCAGTTGTCCGTCCTCTTATATAAAGACTGAGCCGTCTAGTCCTGCCTCCCTGACTGATAGTCTAAACCATCACTCCCCTGGTGGCTCCAGCGACGCCTCAGGCTCATATTCGTCCACGATGAACGGTCACCCCAATGGCTTAGACTCCCCAAGCCTTTATGGCTCCAACGCAGGGACCCTAGGACCTGCTGGCGGCCCTGGATCAAAGCGTTATGAGGACTGTTCATCAACCATTGGGGAAGATTCACAAATTAAGTGCGAGTACATGTTGAATTCCATGCCCAAGAGGCTGTGTCTCGTGTGCGGGGACATTGCGTCAGGTTACCACTATGGAGTGGCATCCTGCGAGGCCTGCAAGGCCTTCTTCAAACGCACCATCCAAGGTTGGCTTCTATTTTAACTTTGTATCTACAGTTGTCTCTGTTTCGCTTGTCTACATTTCACTCTACATCTTGCCTCTTGCTGTTTAAGCTCCACTATTTAGTTTATCTCGCTTAGTTTTGTTTTAATATTTTTATTAGTGGTTCAGTTCATTCAACAGTTTTTTCATCAAAATCTGTGGTTGTGTATTGTTTAAGATTAGACTAGAATAGCTGCTTGTTTGTTTGTTTTTGTAAATCCATTTGACAGTGTCTTAAAGACAGCAGTAAATAATATAAATAATATATATTAATCAAAGATAAAGAAACTTTTTAAAAATGTAAAGACGTTAGTAGGTTGGCTGCAGAGACAGCAAGGTCATATGTTTGAGGTAAGCATGATGCTCTCTATATTGACCTAAATGGTATCCTTAAAAAAGCTTTCACCTAAAAGTACCTAAAACCTTGATAAAAGTAAAGTGAATATTTATACTATTTTTAATAAAAGGAACAGACTAATCAAATTACACACACACTCAGACATGCACACACACCTGAACTAAATTCAGGACATATGATGAAAGCCTCAGGCCAGATGTAAACCCAGATTTTTTATAAGGTACGTCTCCCTCCTCCTCTGCTAAGTGAGCCACCAGGACACCCACATAGCCTATTTCCTCTTTCCCCTTCACCCATTCTCCCCATCACACACATTCACATTTATACATCTATCTAGGTACATAAACCAACCCCCAAAATCTACACCCACTTTTTAACCTCAACCTTGACCTTTTCTTCACGAATAATTTTGGAGCAGTGTTTGCATTCCCAGATCTAGCTGCTCATACATCACAGGAAGCGGTTTAGCCATAAGCTTGTTGTCTGTGCGATAACGTAGCATCAGAGTCGGGTCACGAGTCATGTCTAAAGATCAAGAGTTCAGGGGTTGAAGAGAGAAAGGATAGAGAATAATCCACATGATGAGAGGAGTGCCAGGAATGAAGCACAGTATACTGTACAGGAAGATTAACAACTTGATTGATGATCTTTGTGTTGTGTTTTGTTTTGTTTTTTAATTTCACAGTAGAAATTTGATGATGGATGGATGGATGGATGGATGGATGGATGGATAGATAGATAAATAGATAGATAGATAGAAAGAAGGCGGTAAACTTTTGAAAACCTTTGTGTTAGTGTTATAATCCTTCATGATTTGCTCAAGTTTTTTAAAAATAACTAACAGGCCCCATCTGTCAGCAGGACAGCCCACTTGTCAGTCAGTGTGCTACTGCAATAAGCACACTACTAGTCAGCCAGCCATCATCGATCCATTGAGTCAGTCAGTCAGTCAGTCATATCAGACAGGATTCATCTATCTGCCTTTCCATCCATCCACCTATCTGTCGGTGCTTTCTTTTGCCTCTGATAAGCAGCTTTCCCAGTAAAGCCCCAGAGACAGAGAGAGACAGGAAGATGTGAGGGGGTGGAAGTCCTACATTCACAAGATGGTCACCACTACCTGGAAATGACCTGTATGTGTTTATTATAGGATGAGATCAGGACACGGTGCAGCCCTGACAAATAGATTAGAGTACACGCATGTGACGACAAAGGCAGAGACATGCATACACACACCTAAACTCACAGAAGCTCAGTCAAACAAAGACATCAACACGCATATAGCCATGGAATATTTATGTGGATAGGTTTAACCCTTAATTCATCTGTCACTGCGGTGGTGTCAAATAGTTGATGAACTCTATGTCTCAATTCATTTATTGGTTTGTTAAAGGTTAGAATAGAACGCAGCTACAGATTAAGTACAATATCCCAGATAACATATAGATAATGATGCTGTTTTGACTGGAAAACCTCATTTTAGTGTGACATTAAATAGCTTGAAAGCAGTGATATGTCCCTTTCTCTTCTAATTTCACTGTTTTTTTGTTTTTTATATATTTGTAATACACCATTTTCAAACCTTAAAGGTTGAATAACTAACTACTTTAATTATCATTTTACTTTTTAAAATTGTAATGGTAATGTAATATTTTACCTTATTATTGTGCTATAGCGCTACTTTCTTGGATCCAGTGGACCAGTTGGGTTATGATATTATCTTTGGCTACCACACACAGCAACTTATCCTCAGATACTGTGGATGTTCTGCTTCTGCGTGTGGGCTTCTGTTCATCCAAATGCAAGTTTATGTGCACGTCTGTGCACATATTCCTATGCATGGTTGTGTGTTAGTGTGTGCGTCCTGGCAGGAAAGCAGGGCCAGCCTCAGATGGGCAGCAGCAGACATATTGGTATGTTTCAACCCATTAGCCAATAAAACCGCAGGTAATCACCAAAAAAACACCTCCAGCTGGACAGGGAGGAGAGCATGGGGTGGGAGAGGAAAGGAGAAGAGCGGAGAGAAGAGGTACAGATAAACAATAAGTTGAGACAAGGAATGAGAGAAAAGGAGGAAAGGGGAGGGTGGACTGGGCACATGGATGTAGGAAGGAATTAGGGGTATGTGCGCGCTGGCACGTTTGTGCATGTGTGTGTCGCAGCGTGGAGGAAGTGGCTCTGGCAGCTGCTGTTTCTGTGGCGTCAGTCCAGCGACACCTGACAACCTGCATCTATCACTCCCTTATTGAGAGAGGGGGATAAAGGGGAGTGAAGAGGAGGGCAAAGTATGGAAAAGGGAGGTATAGGGCAATGAAATGGAAAGAGAGAGCCAACAAGAGTGGAAAAAGAAAGGCGGTGGAGAGCACGAAAGAGCAAGATGAAGAAGGGGATAGTGATGTTCACACAAAGAGCAGTCAAAATGTGCAGTAAAAATGTCAGGTGGGAGACTAAAGAGAAATCGTTAGGGTAGTATTAAGTAATACCCATATTGACTTAAAGATGTTTATTCAGTAGTAGACACATTTCTCAATAGTTCAGGAGGCATAAATACATATTTGTGTTTTCTTTTTTTAAATGAATATTGCAAAATCCATACTTTGTGCAGGAGTTGCATTGTGGTGAATTCAAATTTGACTGAGAACCCTTATCCATTTTTCAACTCTGCTCTGCCTTCTACCCATATTTTCTGTTCCTTATTGTTTAAAAAGCCAAAGTGCCAAGGCAAAAGGTATATGAGAAAGGGAGGTTATAGGTATCAGGCTAGGAGAGGCAAAAGAAATACAGCATAGGGGATGGCAAGCCAAAACACACGGTAACATTCACATTACATGATCGGTACAATAGTGATCAATTGTCATGCAGCAGGGTGGACATACCAACATCTCAAAAGAGATTGCAGGGGATTTAAGGCCCTCGTATATACCCCGTCATTCACATAAACACACACATACAAACTTGCCTTTTTTACACAGGAGCCTCCAAGACCCTCTCTGATCTAAGCTTACTCCTGTGCACTGTAAGACACATAAAGAGAGAAATAAAGGCATACCTGCACAGAGAGGAGTGAGATTCTGTTATAAACCTTTCAAATGTAATTCCTGCCCTATACACATACTCTGATGCATATATGTGTCTGAACATGCAAAGGGATTCAGCATACAGTGCATGTTTATTTATCACATGAGATGTAACAGACACATTTGAATGTGTATGAATTAGACTGATGTAAACTACATTTTGCATAAATATGTGTATTACTAAAGTCCACAGATTTTTTTTCTAGGTGTTGTTGCAGTCAGGTACTGTAATCTGAAGTCTCACAGATGTTTCTGTCTTGGCTGTCACTTTAATCAATAAATTATATGGGTTTTTGTTATTGCCTGTTAACACTTACCTTCACAGTAGCAATCAGCATGTGTAGCTGTTAACATTTTTCATCACAGTGAGGGTTTTAAATATTTATTCTTAATGCTGCCAGCTGTATAAGTGGCTCTTTGCTGCAGTTAACAATTTAGCAGCCCTTGCTAGTTTTCTTGAAATGGCAAGGCCCATTAATGCATTCAGATTCTGTTTCATTAGCACATTTAGCCTTAGTGTCCTTCTTAATTGCTGAATTATTCTACTCCTCATGTATCATCAGCATGTAAAGCTCGTGTATTAGCTAACTAGTCCCACATATAGTGTCCATTAGACTGTAAGGGTTCCCTCAGCATTTAGCATGTTTAGCCTTTACTTTAACTAACAAGGCCAATTAATGGGTGTCTTGTTACCCATTAAGAAGTGTTTGTGCATTTAGCGTTTTCCCAAGCTAACTAGCCCCTTAATCAGGCCAGTAATGAGAAAACATCCTCTCCACAGCAGCAGTCAATAGTAATCACTGTTTACTCTGTTTCAGTGGGAGATGTATTGGCTTGCTGGAATACTGTAGTTATCAGGTGGGCATTGGTGAAAGAGAAAGGGATATTTTTCTTTTCACATCCGAATGCAGGTCTTAATACTGATAAATAAACCTGAACATTGAAACAGGTTGGGCAATCTGTAACAATTCAAGCTGTTCCAACAAATCCATAACTATGTTTTGTTCTGAACTGGGAGTAAGTAAATAATTAAGTGGAGGAAATGAGCAGAAATGGAGCTGCAAATAAGAAGACTAACAAGTGGGAAGGAAAAAAATGAGAGGAAAATGGCCACAGGAGCCAAAAAAGATGTTAAAATGCCTCGTGTAGATGTACAGTATATTTTAGTAAAATTAAAAAGATATAAAAGGTATCAGGAAATAAAAGATAGGACAATATACTACTATAATACAGTACGTATGAGAAAGAGTAAAGTACCCACAGAAGTGCTATTAGACTCACTCAGAGTGATGTTTTGGTTGGCCTCGGTTGTGAAGTTAATAGACTTCGGTTAATAATCTTGCTTTCAACACTGCATCCAAGTGTCACCGCCTGTCCTGCTGCTAAGTCACGCAATCTTAGTTGACTTTATGGTCTCATGTAACGTAGACATATCACCTCTGTTAGTGCATACACAGATACACTTCTGTGTTTTTTAAACAGCAATACAGGTGGTGTTCCTGGCAACCAATTTTGTAGTAAAATAAAACAAACATTTTGAATAATTAATTGAAAAAACATTTTAAAAATGGGCAAAATTTAGGGCAGTTTAATAAACACTGGGAAACATTTGTCTCCTCGCCCATCTAAAAGCCACTCTAAACCTTATTTTTCAGTAATGAAATCACTTGGTGCTCTCTATAACACTGCACACATATGACATTAGATTAGTTTGTGGCTAACACCTGTAATGCTAGCGTGAAAGCCTTCCTTCAAGTCTGTGCAGAACATGGTGATATATTCTTCCTGTCAAGTGCTTATATGCCACTTTAATCTGACACAGCCTACATATATCAGTATACTTTCAGGTCAAAATACTGCAGGTCTGTCAAAGGTCAAGACAGAGGTAGCTCAATCCATCCATCCATCTATTTTCTTAACTGGTTATCCAGCAAGGGTCAAAGGGATGCTGGAGAATATCCCAGGTGCTACAGGGCAAGATGCAGGGTACAACCAGGATAGTTTGCCAGTCATAGGGCTAGAATAGAGAGGCAGACAACCACCTACATTCCCATCCAAACCTATGGATAAATGAAAATCGACATGAAGAGAATATGCAAAGTCCACACAACCCTTCATGAATGCCAAAACTGGGAGCATTTTTGCTCTGAGGTTCTGTCCATAGTCATCATTTTATGGTTTGTTGTATTGCATACATGTGTCTGTGTGCTCTGTGCTTGTGCTGATGTGTCTATCTGAAATGAAACCTTTTTGTCTATCTTTCTCCAACATGTCTACGTGCCGCAGGCAACATTGAGTACAGCTGTCCAGCCACCAATGAGTGCGAGATCACCAAGAGGAGACGCAAGTCGTGCCAGGCCTGCCGCTTCATGAAGTGTCTGACTGTTGGCATGCTGAGGGAGGGTAAGGGAAAAGGTCTCTTCTTTATATTTTTCGGCTAAATGTGCTACATGTAGCATTTTAACGTCAATTAGGTATTCTGCATCTTAAGCAAATTTTCACATAACGTTGTATTAGCTTACTCATTTGTATGAACGTATTGAACAACGCTACATGCAACTTCTACATGATAATTTGTGTGTGTGTGTGTGTGTGTGTGTGTGTGTGTGTGTGTGTGTGTGTGTGTGTGTGTGTTGTGTTTAGTTTTAACATCTAAAGTTACACTCAGAAATTTATAAGGGCATGTACACACGCAGACCCATTAACAACACTGTATACATGGCTTTTAATTTTGGTTTGCTCAAATAAAGATACAAATTTCAGGTTAACTGCGACGCTCAGCAGTTGTTCAGTGGTGTTGAAAGGTAAAAAAAACACAAGCGGTATTATCTGCCCCCACACCACTTTGATTAAATACACTCACTCTCTCATTTTCACACTCCCATGTTGCCTTTTGCCTCTTTCTCTCCCTCTTGTCTGCCCACCTCTGACCTTTTTACTCCCACTGCACTTCCAACGATGAAAGGAGAGAGAGGAGTGGCGAGTGTTAAAGAGAAAGACTGGGAGAGAGAAAGAGGGATAGAGGAAGGGGGAAGGTGCAAGAAACCGAGGGGAGGAGATGGGGAGGAGTGGGGAGAGAGATTGATTTATAGGAGCAGAGGAGAGGGACCAAGGGAGGATGAGAGGCAGGGGGAGGATGGTTGAATGAAGCAGAAAGCGTGTGAGAGAGAAAGAGTAGAAGAGAGGAGGGTCAAGGTTGTAATTGATGGGAGACCTGGCCTACGCCCCCTTCCCTACAGTGGTCAGGGAGCATGCCTGTGCCGACGCCTGCCAGCCCTTCCTCCATCCATTTCTGTCTTCATCTAGCCCGCTCATTATTACTGTACTCTTTCTGATGCTTTTTTAAATGTCTTATAGCCATTGTCCTTCATGTTTTTGTGCATCCTGTCGGGACCATACCCGCTGCTTTTTATCAGTTCAGACATCATAATGTGAAACCGTTACAGTCTGAGGTAAACTGTTATAGAAAGAAAACAAAAACATGACAGCACATTGAGCTTTCTATACACATTTTGTTGAATTTATTTACATCTTGACGTACTGGAGATTTTAAAAAGTATAAAAATATAGCTGTACACATAATGAAATCTTGAAAGACAAGAACCTTGTCATTATTGTATAAACACCCCAAAGGAAATATGAAATTCAGGAAACTTTTCACTGTGAGCTTCAGAATAATCCAGAAGTTTCTTTTTAGTGTAGAAGCGCTCGACTCTGCCGCTCTCTTTCTTCCACTCACACACACTCACAGAAGGAGACACACAAACACACACACTCCCAACAAGCTGCTGTCGTAGCGTTTGTTCTCCCAGTTGATCTGACGTAGGCAGAACCTATGTCTCATCTCCTGTTTTGTCTCGAGTATGTGTATGTGGCCACAAACACGCACACACACGTGTAATAGCATGTATTATTGGCAGTTTCACCAGTCTCGCAGTTTACACAGCTGAGGCTGCATCCTCCTGCTTTACAAAGAAACCACATTTCCCTCGTCTAAAAAAAGTCACACAAGGCAATTTATTTATATTAACATTTTGCTATTAATACAACAGTTTTAAGTAATTTTTTTTCATCTATAGTTTGTGTGAAAGTTGGAATCTAGGGAAAACAAAACCAGATGCACTGACGTGCTCTTAAGTCTCATAGATAACCACTTATGTTATTGTAAAGGAATGTGCTATATGTAGCCGAGGGATATTGTATCGGTGTTTTTCTGTCCCAAGCAGGGAAACAAATAGCTGCCTTTTGTTGCCTCTGCCGTACTCTACACACATATATCATGCACACACACATCGGCCCACATATCTATACATCAACATGACAGACCACAGCCACCCCATTTGTTGTGCAAAGTGTGAATTTAATACAGGGGTTTCTCGCTCTACATATGAATAAAGGTCATTTGGAAAATTGATACATCCATTTCCCCCTATTTCCATGTTTTAATTCCTTTTGAACCCTTGGGAAATTTGAAATGATCAACAGCTATATAAAAGAACTGAACATTTTCCTTCACCTTAGTTTTACTCTGCTGGAGGTGTTCTGTTAAAATATACAAATTATTGTCCTTTTTAAAGAACTAGTAAATCTTGCTGATTTTCTCAAATTTTCCACTTTCCATTTTTTCCCCCTTGAATTTGGTCAAGATATTAAACGCATCATGACCCATACTTTGTCTGGAAAAATTTACTGAAAGGACTTTAAAGACTTAAAATATTAACCATGCAATATCAGGAAAAAAGTTGTGATTTCCTATTGCTAAACTATAAAAGAAAAGTTTTTTACTTTGTGAAACCTTGTGAATATTTCAACCTTTATGTTATTTCTTGTTTTCCTTCCAAAAATGTGAGTTCATTAAAGAGTTTTCTGCATAATGCACATATTTAGGTCTAGTAAGTCTTCTCAGCATTTCAGAGCATCAAAATTAATTAACATAATTAATCTACCCAGGTAAGCATCTTAATAAATCGGACAATGGATCTATTTCATATACAAAAAACACTAATTTAGGAGCATTGCCTACCATGTATCATACTGCCCTTCTGGCTGTAAGCAGTGTTACTGCAAGATTGCATAGATATAAATGGTAAGTGGCTAGATCAGTTAGTATCAGGGCTAACTATAGTTGTCAGGGGCTAGCTCACGGTAGAAAGGTGAAGATAAAGTGGTAAGGGTGGAGTGGGCAGGAAAACATGGAGTAGCGTGTGTCTTTCTGTGTGTGTGTGGATACTGTAGTTTACCCCTAAGGGCAAGATCAGCCTCAAATTAGCTTTGTCGCCCTGGGAGACAGAGAGGGTGAGATGAAGAGCAAGTGAGGCAGCAAGGAAGTGCGTGTGTTTGTCGGAGACTGAGAAAGAAGGAGAGAATAGGGGCCAGAGGGTCAGTAAACCAACTCTGAGTTGAGTTCTTTCTTTACATGTTCTCTTAAACACACACCTGATCATGTGAATACACTCCCACTTGTCCGTGTAAAATATTGGATTTTCTCAGCCACCACTGTGAGGACAAGAGGAGGCGAGGAGTAAGCGAGCAGGGGATAAACTGAAGGAAGGAACAAATACAGGGCACCCACCCACCAATATGTAGCAGCTAATTTCTGGAGCAAGGCAATTAAATGGCCTGGTTACATTATGAGAACTACCCCTCTGGCAATGGCTGTCTGTCCATTTTTAATGAGGTCATAATGATGCGTCAGCTGAAGACCAAAAGGTCATGAGGCGGGACTTAAATCTGCCTAGAGAGAGGGGAGTGGTAGTGAGAGAACAAGGGTGTGATTGCAGGTTAAAAAAAAATGTATAAAAATTAACATATTAAAATGAAAGAAGGTTGAAAGAGATTTTTAACAATCCCAGAAGGTTTTTTTTTATTTAATTAAATCTGCAAAAAAGCAACAGTAATTACAATGTTGCTGTCAGTTCTTACCCTCCGTGCTCAAATGGCAAGGCAAGACCGACTTAATGCATTCAATATCAGCAGTAATGCATAGAATGATCGTGAACAGCAAAACACAGATCAGACATTTGAACATGAAACACTTTGGCAGAGACACACAACCCAGGAGCCAGCAATATTCAGTAGGCGTGCATACTGTACATATGCTCATACTGACAGATTTGCTCTCTTACAACAGCAGCTTTGATGATGCCACGTCTGATGAATCGTGGTTAAACAGACAGAATGTGTTGAATCCAAAACCAAAGCCTCCATTTCTATAATGCCATTAACGGCCAGCTGGATTCAGATGGTGGACTACTAGAGGGACAAGTCCACGGACTGCAAATATAAACCTTGGCATAATGCCCCACACATGCACATATATACACACACATTAACAATCTGTGCCAACTTTGGCCATGCTCCCCACGGCCCCTAAGACCTAATGAGGGAGATCGGGTGGAAGGCCCCAGTCTGTGAGGGTGTGTTTGGTGTGGGTATATGCAGCTGGTGTAGTGTGCATCATAACTCCCCTCACAGCTCAGTGATCTTGACTGCTGCTGTCCAATTTCATCACTCGACACATATGCATTTATACACACTGTGCTGAAAACAATTGGCTGATAAACATATAAAGATCATTTCTTTTAAAAAAAAAAAGACTCGTTCCTTGAAAGATGCAAGTTATTAAAGGTTAAAAAATGATGAAATGACCAGGAGCAGTTTAAGGGTCAGTGAATAAACAGGATCGTAGAAGAAGCTGAAAAAAACAATATAAAGGATGCAGAGTGGGTGATGGAGAGAGGGAATGAGACAAGAAGAGAGGGGAAACAAAGGAGGAGAGCGCCAGACAACTGGTGGCGTCTGGTGTTCCCCTTGGGAAACTTGTAGCTAAATCTGGCCCTGTAGCGTCTGTCCTGCATGAGTGTGTGCGAGTCCGTGTGTGTGCAAATGGCATCTAGTTGCATCCCAGCTAGAAAGGAGCGATAATGGAGATGGTGTGACGAGAGATCTGCCTAAGTGGTCCACTTTCTCTCACGTACACTTTCTTTTTGAGGAGAGGGGAAGAGAGGAGACCTTTGACCTTTGTCAAACCCTTCATTGGCATCATTTTTTGCCAGCAAACATAACTAAAGCAAAACTTTAACATATGTACGATTTTAGCCCAACCCACTACCCAAAACCCTCAAGAAGAAATACACAAAAATAAATAAATGAATAAATACATACCTACATTCAGTGGAATAATAAAAATGCAAAAGTCAGATAATATGCCATTACATTGCAAAGGACACCAGTTACATTGGACATTAATGACTCCCCAAACAGAAACAAAATCTTCAGTGTCAGATAACATTTTATGATACACAAATTTTATTTTTTTTATTTTTATTTTTTTTATTTTTACAGATCCTATCACTTTGATCTGATCTTCACATCAGCTCATGCTTGATGCTCATGCATGCCTG